ACACAGATTAATGTTCAAATTAAAAATTGTCTTAATACACAGATTAGAAATTATTCTGATTAATTACACAATAAATATAAAACAGAAACAGTATATAAAACAAGAAACAGATATACTGATCACAGGTTCAAAACACCAAAATTGTCTTAAGATTGTTATTGAAGACAGTGGGTGATATTAAATCACTAGAGGTTTGAACCCATGTAAAGAACAGAAGGGGTAGATGATCAGAATTATCACTGTGCAATTATAAATAAAATAAGAACAGACTTACTTGTCAGATATATGAGACAGAATGATAATGATATGCAGTATCAGAGGAATAAAAATCCGAGCCCACAGAACGTGTCTCCTTAAGACAATTTGCCCCCTCATCGATGCCAAAGGTTGATGGACACTTGTCTCCCAGGATAGAACGGATTTCGTCTGAAGAGTGGCGGCACTACCAGTCAACAGCCCAAACGAACACAACAAAATGCCAGAGGAAATCACACCAGAGTATGAACAGGAATATGCAAACCGGAAGGAGAAAAATTCCGGCAGAGTTTCAGTGCAGGAAAAATTGGATACATTTTCTGAAGGTGTCAGTGTCTATTTATAGACAACGTAAAGTCACGTTCCAAAAGGCACCTATTCGACGACGAAACAACACATCTGTTGGACACGAAAAGACACATTCGTTCAACATGAAGAGACACCCATTCAAGGATGAAACAACATGTCCGTTAGGATGAAACAACATGTCCGTTAGGATGAAACAATACATCGTTTAGGATGAAAAGATACATCTGTTTGTCGACGAAAAGGCACACCTTTTCACTACCAAACTTCTTATTCATAACCAATAGATTGTCTATACAATATATATATATATATATATATATATATATATATATATATATATATATATATATATATAAATTCCAACAAAAACAAAGGTGTCACTCATCAATATAAACGAAGTAGTTCCACTTCCATCCACCCCGGCACTAGAGAGCGAAAACTGGTCTAGCACGAAAATGGATTTCATGTTTTTGGACCCCGCAAAGGAAGACAAGATAGATAGAGAAGAACTGGCTGATGGGTCAAGTACTTGTTCCTGTCAGCAAGAATTACTCAAAAAGAAGATAAAAAAAGAATCGAAAACGCCTCATCAATCAGGTTGTTCTGACAATATACTGAAAATTGGAAAACCCTTAATCGATTAATCTATTAAGAGTCACCTAATTTCAGCCATGCATAAAATAATTGATTACATAGATCATGTAATCAATTAACTTATATGCTCAACTATCAAATAAGAGCAGATTTCTATTATGTTTTAATAAAATGTTAAAAATTTTAAATAGTATAAAAACGGAGAATAGTGATAATATTTATATTAATCAAGGACAAAATGTAAAAAAGTCTAATAACATTGTTCCCTTCCAATTTTTAAGTATATGAAAATTCATAATCATGGGTAGATGCTTATTTACTTTTTTCCTTGGTGTACTAGATGAGCAATGAGAATGATGCATATATATTATACATAAATCACACATTTTTAATACAAAATACAAGGCACCATACAAGAGAAGTCCAAGGTGAACAATGAACACGCGCTGCATATATCCCATAGATAAACCACAGCTTATTAAAACAACATACCACACAAGTCCAAAATGTATATGACATTTGGAAGACTAAAACAAGAGCGAAGAAACATGGAGAGCTGAAAGCAAACTGAAAGGGTTCTTAATTAAAGCCTGTCTCTCACAATGAAAATTGTAAGCAGAAAGGCAAAGAATCCACCGATCAGTGCATGATTACCGATGCTGCAGCTCGCATTAATTTTCGGACAGGCCGGATATATGCAACCTATTTCAGCAGCAACCCCTACAAGCAAAACAGCTAATAAAGCCATAAATAATGTGAATTTGAGTGGTGAATCCATCGTTGAAAGGCACTCAGCTGATTGAATGAATAGAATTCTTCAACTGCTTTTGGTTTGAATAAAATTGGTTTCGGTGGGTTATATATATAGTAGCATAGCCCGTGGACCTTTTTAAAATAATAGCCATATCCGTGGCTAGATATGCTGACATTATTGATTGAAACTTTGGAACCTTTATTTTAACAGATAAAATATTCTTGACCAAACAAGAAAAAAACAATCAACAAAAAAACTACATTGCATGCATGCAATACGTGATAGAAGAGATTCTGTTAATTACATTCAGTGCTACAAACTACAAGCTAAGTGCGGATTCCAATCATCTACAAATCTTTTAGAAAGAAGAGCCGTAAGTTACGATTTATTTTCTGTTTTTCCCTCATGTTTTTTTTACTTGTTCCAGTTCAATCGGTCAGGTACTGGGACATTAAAAATAATGCGAGGCAAAAATCTCTTTGTTCTTCTTCTTATAAAGATTAGATCTTCGATTATAACTGTTAAAATTAAAAGTAACAGAAGAAATTTCTAACGAAAAAAAAAAAGACAGAAGAAAGAAACCGAAAAAAAAGGGACAAATTAAAATAACAAAATAGAAAAATGATTAATTAATTTATTATCACTATGTCAAGATAGAAAGACCGATCCACGCATGTTTGTACTAATTTATATATAAAATTTTCTTTGAAAATTATTTAGCTGGGTTCGCTTTTTCTACGGTCAACGTAGATAGCTTATCTACATTGAGCCCAAAACGACGTCGTTTTGAGACGAAAATCAAAGTATTTTTGTAATTATAATTTATTTCAGAGTTATAATAGTCTTTTTATTATATTTTTTTAATTTTCCAACACAAAACGACGTCGTTTTGGGAGCGAATGTAGATAACTTATCTACATTCACTTAGAAACATTAAATCCATAAACTAACCCAGCTACCTAACGATTAACTAATTTATTGTCCCTATGTCAAAAAACAGCACTGAATCACGGGAGTTTGCACTAATTTATTCATAAAAATATTGATTGAAAATTTTGAGTGTAATATTATATATTAACCTAATGTATATATAACCTATAATAACCCTAATCTGTAAATTGTGAATTAGTAAGTTGATTAATAGTTTAATCATAGTTTAGTGGGTTAATGAAGTTAAAATTTTGAGTTTCAGGTAAATGGTAATTTGGCAAAAACTGGCTGGTTTACGGTTAATTCTGTAAAGTACCCTCCACCTAGATCCATAAAATTAGAATGAGAAATATTAGATGGAAAATTTAATTATACGCATAAAGTCACTTTTGGGAGAAAAATGCGATTAGTGAAGATACTAGGTAAAAATCCAACTGTGCAAAAGTGCTTAGAACTTTAAAATGCTATAGTGGCATACCATTAAATAATTTTGGACATTTCTCACTCAAGACACTTAAATGACATGCCACATCACATTTTTCTCTCATTTCTCTTACGCTGGAACAACCCTTCCTTTGCCAAAAATTGACTAGCCCCGTCTCCCTCCACCATTGTTGATGAAGCCAAGCTCACAACTTACTAACCATGCCTCCAATGGAAAAGTCTATTAGACAAAACTTTCGGGGTCCAATTAGTTGAATCCATCCTTCATCCAACATTGGGGAGCTATGTATAGGAAGAAAAGCTCCATGGACAGCCACAAAATTTTCGGGGTTCAAGCTTGAAGGAAGTGATTTTGTTGCATCTAAGCTTGGAGGATCATTCATTGTTTTTTTACTACTAGGAAAAACCTGTGTAGCGACGAAATTTCAATAAAATTTCCCTCGCAAAATTCGTGGCTAATTCGATTTTCCTAGTAAATTCCATCGCAAACCTCGTTTGCGAGGGAATCTATGATGAAAAATAGTTGTGAGGATGAAATTAGCGACGAAAATTATATAGCAGTTCCGTCGCTATACAGGTTTTTACTAGTAGTTCTGGTTTTTTCTAGTAATTCTAAACTTAGGTTTTCATGATATTTGTTGGATTTTGATGTTGTTGAATCATGGATTATATGTTTGTTTTGATGTTGGATAAATTTCATTGGTTGGCTTAGTGTTGGAAATTATCAAGTGAGTGTGTGGTAATACTTGAAAAATTGATGAACCTAATAGGCTATCAATCAGCCATGCCATGAAAATTCATGTAGGAGAGGTGTTTGATGTTATGTCAATGAGAGTTAATATGTGTTAGATGGTGTATTGTTGAATGACCTTCATGGTAGCCATTGGATAGCTTGGAATTTTAATGAAACCATGTAGACTACCATTCGGCCACCGTATATAAAAGCATGATGGAAGTGTACTAAAATGTAGTGTTAAGGATGGTTATTTATACACTAGGTATTGTAGTGTTAAATGGGTAATGTAGTGATCATTGGAAGCATATAAATGTGTGATGGCCAAAAGAAAATTCTAGTAAAATTCAATATTGTCCGCCATTTTAGAAAATTAATTTCCAGAGTTATATACTTTCAAATGGGGCAAACGATATATCAGAAGCCAAAGATGTCTAATTTCTACCATTAAAATTTCAAGTCATTTTGGTGAAGATTTAGATTTTATATGATTTTTGGAATACAAGCAATTTTTCTTGAACTCAACTCACCAATTTTCAAATTTTGGGCAATGTTTTGACTATTGATGAAATCCTTTTGTTCTATGATCCAATACAAATAAATGGATAGGGATATTGCATTTTAAGATTTGAAATGGGCATGTGTTGTTACGGAATTATCAGTTAGGGAGAAGAGTATCAGAGTGAAAGGATGTCCATCTTGGGCTGTAGACTATGTAAAGTAGGAATATGTTGAAATTGTGTAAAAGGAGAATACGATTGTTGTTGTATACATGTAAGTAGTTAGTTGTATACCAGAGTGACTAAGCTCGTTAGGACTCATATTGTAGAGCCACGTTGGCTAACTAACATTCTTGTTAAATACCCCACCTTGGGTATGTGTTGAGCATGCAAATAATAAGATAGTTCTTGAGTTTTTCTCTTTAAGGGTACGCGTCCCTTATCAACTGGTGCTTTCGTTCGGTGGATTCACGACGGCAACATGCGGGTTCAAGAAGTTGTTGATGATTTGACACAGTATAAGGAAGACAGTAATCGGCGTTTTGAGCAGATGTTGGAGTTGATCGATAAGCGTTTTCAGATGATGGAGACTTCGTTTCGCGAGATGATGATCCAAACGTCGAAAGCGAATTCTGAGACACATTCTCCGGAGAGTTCGTCTCAACCTCATCGTGTTGTTCATCAACATACGTTGCATATGGATGATTCTCGTTCGGTTTTAAAGTTTGTTAAAACTGAAATTCCCAAATTTGATGGGAAGGAACCTAATACATGGATTTTTCAGACATCATTATTCTTCAAGATACATCAAGTTCCAGAGAATTTGAAAGTAGAGTTGGCTGGCCTGCGTATGGATGGAGCAGCAGCAGATTGGTATCAATGGGTTTTTCGGAGCGGCTTCATCAATTCTTGGGAAGAGTTTAAGGTTGCTGTTGGCCAGAGATTTGGTCCATCTCAGTATAAAGATGTTCGTGGTGTGCTCTCCAAATTGTTGCAGACCGGATGCTTGAAGGATTACATGGCAGATTTCCAAAAGCTCATGAATCAGGTATCTAATATTAGTGATGATTTGTTGATGACATTTTTCATTTCGGGTTTACAAGCTGATCTTCAAGGGGCTGTTCAATTGAGAGGGCCTTCTTCACTCCATAATGCTATGCAATTGGCAATTGCATATGACAGCCACCATGTGGAATTGCGTTCGTCAGTTTCTAATGTTCCGAAGAAACCTTTTTATCGTTCTCATTCCACGGGAACGATGGAAAAACCATCACATAGTGCACAATTGGCTTTACCTGCTTCTACAACTTTACCTGCTTCTACCACTTTACCTGTCAAGAAACTGTCTCCAGAAGAGTTGCAAAAAAAAAGAGATTTGGGTATTTGTTATACATGTGATGCCAAGTGGAATACAAAACATCGTTGTCCAGCAAAGATGTTGATTTTAATAGGAGAACCTGAGGATTCAGATGTAGAATTAGAGGAGGAGATTGTTTGGGGAAAAACAGAACCAGAGGGAATTAGGACTGATGCTGCCTTGCATTCTTTTTCGGGTCATGATGCTAAGTCTTTAGTATTATTGGCATTTGTGAAGGGGAAGGAAGTGCAGGTACTTATTGATTCAGGCAGTTCCCATAATTTCATTAATAGGGAATTAGCTGAAGCAATGCAGCTACCAATGGTGAAGTCTTCTAGGATGAGGGTTTTTATGGGAAATGGGGATTTCCTACTGTGTGAAAAGAAATGTCCTCAAGTGCCTTTGCTCATTCAAAGTCATGTTTTTCACACTGATTTGCATGTTGTGGATTTAACTGATTTAAGTATCATTTTAGGAATGCAGTGGCTTGTTACTTTGGGCCGTGTCACTCACAATTATGGTGACCTTTCCATGGAGTTTTCTTGGCAGAATGAAATGGTGTTGTTACAAGGTGTTCATTCTCACATAGAATCAGTTCCAGCAAGCAAGGGAGAAGCTGTCTGTAATACATTGACCTTGCAAAGGTCAGCAGCAGGAGACACTGAGGTACACTCTGATTTCTTATTGTTGAAAAATAAGGTTCCTGCTGCATTGTGGAACATCTTGGTGTGCCGTCAAAGGGTATTTGATATACCGAAATCCTTACCTCCTTTTCGAGACTTAGATCATGCTATTCATTTAGTTGATGAGTGATAACACATATTTTGTTACACTTATTTGTTACTCTTGATTAGTATTTTTAGGATTTATTTGAATAAAATAATGATTGTTAGAGTTAATTTAGGTTTTTAGTTTTTAATTGGGTTTAATTTATTTTCGTCAGAATTTTTCAGCTTTACGTTACTTCTGTATTTTGGCCATATCTCGGTCCATAGTTGTCGGATTGACTCCGTTCTTGTTGGGTCTTTCAGATAACACAGAGAGCTACAATTCTTATGCAGAGCTCTAAGCCCAATTCGGACTAGAAGCTGGTTGATTTCGGACACCAAGTTGGACGCGTTTTGCTGAAGTTTTGTTTGACTATTGGGCTTGTAATTTAAATTAAAACCCAATTACTTAAGTGGCCCAAAGCCAAGTTTTATTGTTTCATTTTATTTTATTCGGTTTTTATTTTATGTTTGGGCTGAAGCGATGAAACCCTAGCCGTCCTGCGTGACGGCTATTTAAAGGGGACTCTAGGAAACCCTTGGTAGTCAGTTTTTACAACAGAGAAGTTCTCTCTGAGTTTTTATTCAATTGCGTTCTTCATCTTTTTTCTTCTTCTTCTTCTTTTTATTTCAATTATGTTTACCTTAGCCATGCAAGGCTAAGAACCTTTTAATCAACCTAAGGGTAATGGATTCCATGGATTGGTCTTGAGGATCTGCGTTTAATTCAAATCAGTTTTGTTTCCCTTCCCAACTCAGATTGATATCGTGCGATCGTGGATATTCAATCTGAGGTTCGCGATTGCGATTATGGAAAGGGATTAATCATCAGATTTGATGATTAGGTTGATTGACCCTATGACCTTAAATCAAGCGGGCTGATACTCTGCGATTGTATGAGTAGAAGCATCGTCTTTGATCAAATGCTAAGCGATCGCTTAGAGAGGGTTGTCAATTGGAAATAAGGATTCTGATCCGATTGACAAATCAATCACGATTCTGATATCTTCTTATCCGAGGAAAGACGTCCATGAAACCCAAACCTTAGGTTGGTTATTTTTAATTACGAATTTTTATTCCAAATTTATATTCTGCCTTTTTAATTATTGAATCAAAATCCAAAACCCCCCTTTTAATTTTCTGTTCTCATAAGCGATTTTAACCAAAACAATTTCCTTGAGAGACGACTTAGGGTTTCCACTTTACTGCAAATTTTCTGAACCCTAAAGAATTAATTTTTAATTTGCGCGAGTTCGACAACTCGTGTCAAATTTGGCGCCGTTGCCGGGGAAAATTGCATCGGTCTAAATCGCTTTCTGATTCTTGATCATCTTCTTTTTCATCTTCATATTCTTTTTCTTTAATTTTCGTTTTTGAAAAAAAAAAAGCAAAAAAAAAATAAAAATAAATAAATCAATCAAAAAAAAAAATTGGGGAAATCGGTAAAACTTCAGTTTGAGCGATTGGTTCCAGGACGTATCGGGTATTTCTGAACTTGTTCAACTTGCTCTGATCGCTCTGAAAATTGATGAGCTGAAGGAGACTATCATCCCTGTCAAAAGTTGTGAGGCTCTGCCTCACAAATCAGGCCCTGGTTTTGCCAAATTCCTTTGTTTACTATTTTATTTTATTTTTCGAAAAAAATTTATTTGATTTTTGAATCCGTAAGGTCAATTAGAGTTTAGGAGAGTTGGTCCCATAGCATTCTGAGTTCATTTAGTATTTTTTATAGATTTATTTTTGCTTCTGTTTGCTATGAATCCAATTTTTCACCCTACAGATGTTTGTTCTTCCTTTCCAGACAGCGGTTTCCAAGTTGATCAGTCTGTTGCTGCAGTTTTTCCTGCAAAGCCACAATACCAGCAGATGCAGCAGCAGCAGCAAAACAATCCTTTCTCTAATGCATATAATCATGGTTGGAAAAATCATCCAAATATCAATTGGAATCAGAACCAGCAAAGTGCACCATTCCAACAGAGGCAGCAGTTTGCACCTTCTCAACAGAGGCAAAATTTTCAACAATTTGCACCTCCACAGCCAATGCAGCAGCAAGCCAGTAGCGATGGTCCTTCTTTGGAGGATTTAGTGAAGCAGATGACAACTATCAATCTGCAGTTCCAGCAGATTACTGAGTATTCCCTCCAGAATCTGCAAACACAGATTGGCCAGCTTGCAACGTCAATGAGTCAAAATCAACAAGCAAGTGGCAGCTCCCTTCCATCCCAAACAGTTCCAAATCCAAAAGGAAGCGGAAATGTGAGTGCTATTACTCTGCGGTCTGGCAAGCATATGGAGGAGCCAAACCACACTACTGCTGAGTCATCTAAGGGAAGTGACACTAGCTCCAAGAAGCAGAGCACTGATACATCTGATCATCTTGTTTTCTGCATTGATGTGATAGATGAAGTTGTTGAGGATTTTTCTCCTGAATTCCTTACTGATTTTTCATCTATTCATGGTTCTGATTTCTGTGATTGTAGTGATAGTCAAGAGTGCATTGTGTGTGCTGAAATAGCATCACATCTTTCTGGTTTTAACGATGCACTTATTGATGAATCTGATTCTGAGTGTGAATCTGCACTTTCTGAATTGCCTGCTGATATTATTGATGATCCTAATTCTGTTTCTGAGAATTTGTTTACAGGCATTGCTGCTGACTTGTTTTCTGCAGAATTTGCACCACCATTTACACCTCTTCCATCCAGTGAGCAGCCTCCGAAATTGGAGTTGAAGGTTCTGCCCGACCACTTGAAATATGCATTTCTTGAGGAAAATGAGCAGTTACCTGTGATAGTGGCCAAGAACCTTCTACCTGAGCAGGAGGTAAAGCTTCTGACATTGCTGAAAGAAAATAAAAAGGCAATTGGATGGACTTTAGCAGATAATGTGGGAATCAGCCCTTCCATGTGCATGCACCGCATTTTACTTGAAGGTGTTAAACCAGTGAGGCATAAATCAGGCTGTTTGATGCTGTTTATTCTCCTTAGGGAGTTCAGGGAGTTCTCTTCCCTCTTTTTCTTTTCTTTCTGTTATTTGCATTTTTATTTTTCTTTTCCTTTCTTTCTTTTAGTTTTTGACTTTTTCTTTTCTTTCTGTTATTTGCATTTTTATTTTTCTTTTCCTTTCTTTCTTTTAGTTTATGATTTTTTCATAGGTAGATTTTCCTTTTCTTTCTGGTAATTATTGAGTGGTACATAGAGTAGATATAGATCACAGTGTTTGATAGCATAAATCTGTTGGGCTTTGATCTCGATTCTTGGATTACAACTACCTGTTGATTGATTCTGTGTTGTTGATTGCATGACTTGGTTTACCCTTGTGAGGTTTTGAGCCTGCATACATGGCATATCTTTTGGCCATGCTTTCTTTCTTGTGTGTTTCTGCTCTTGATTGTTGTCCTCTAGAACTTGCTCTTGTTCTTTTTGAAACTGCATTTTTCACTTGCATGAATGAACATGATTGAGGCATTCTTTCTTTTCTGTACCCACTTTAGCCAGATAGCCGTCCCTTATATTATTATCCCTTGGTGAGCCCCTTTGAGCCTTTATATCTTTTATTTCTTAAGCCGCATTACAAGCCTAAGTGAAAAACCAATTAATTCCACACCCTGGAGTTTTACTGAGCATTGGTTTCATTGTGATGTTGTGTTTAAGTGTGGGGGTTTGCCCGAGACGGACAAAAGTTTAAGTGTGGGGGGTGACTATCTGATTCATTTCTGCTATGTGGTTTTACTTCTTAAAAAAAAAAAAAAAAACAAACAAACAAAAAAAAAAAAAAAAAAACAAAAACAAAAAAAACAAAAAAAAACAAAAAAAGTGTTTATCTTTTCAGTATCTTTGTTTTATGTTCTTAGTTTAGTTCTTAACTTTTGCTCTTTGTAAAATTCTGGGGTGTTTAGCTTTCTCTTCCATATTCATCCATACCTTTACCTCAGTCCCATTACAACCCTGCATAAAGCCCTCTTGATTTGTGCATGCATGTGTTATGAGCAGTGGAGAAGTAGAACTTGAGCAAGCCTATGGTAGGATGATTTTCTTGAGTTGATTTGAGTGATATACTGAATTAACTGATACACTTGAGAGAAAAATTGAGAGCATCTTGTGAGGAACCATTTTTATGCAGTTAGCAGTTGCAGTTGAAGTTAGCAGGTCTTGTGATTTGAGATTAGGGAATTTTTTCTGTCCTGATTGATTTATCTGTAGAAGACTTGTGATCTTTGTATATTTTCTGTATGCTTGGTAATTGTTAGAAAGGATTGGTTGATCTTAGTATTTACTTTCAATTTTAGTTTTTGCCCAGGAGTGCAAAAAGATAAGTGTGGGGGAATTTGATAACACATATTTTGTTACACTTATTTGTTACTCTTGATTAGTATTTTTAGGATTTATTTGAATAAAATAATGATTGTTAGAGTTAATTTAGGTTTTTAGTTTTCAATTGGGTTTAATTTATTTTCGTCAGAATTTTTCAGCTTTACGTTACTTCTGTATTTTGGCCATATCTCGGTCCATAGTTGTCGGATTGACTCCGTTCTTGTTGGGTTTTTCGGATAACACAGAGAGCTAAAATTCTTATGCAGAGCTCTAAGCCCAATTCAGACTAGAAGCTGGTTGATTTCGGACACCAAGTTGGACGCGTTTTGCTGAAGTTTTGTTTGACTATTGGGCTTGTAATTTAAATTAAAACCCAATTACTTAAGTGGCTCAAAGCCAAGTTTTATTGTTTCATTTTATTTTATTCGGTTTTTATTTTATGTTTGGGCTGAAACGATGAAACCCTAGCCGTCCTGCGTGACGGCTATTTAAAGGGGACTCTAGGAAACCCTTGGTAGTCAGTTTTTACAACAGAGAAGTTCTCTCTGAGTTTTTATTCAATTGCGTTCTTCATCTTTTTTTTTCTTCTTCTTCTTCTTTTTATTTCAATTATGTTTACCTTAGCCATGCAAGGCTAAGAACCTTTTAATCAACCTAAGGGTAATGGATTCCATGGATTGGTCTTGAGGATCTGCGTTTAATTCAAATCAGTTTTGTTTCCCTTCCCAACTCA